GGGGATTGAACTCAGGCCTCAGGCCCTTGCACTTGCCAGGGAAGTGCTTATTCCACTGAGCCATCTCCCCGGCCCCTCATTGATATATTTTTATGATCAGCTTCATTGAGGGAAGTTTGCATTCAGCACATTCAGGTGTTAGGTATGTAGCATGATTTTTGACAATTTACACTTACTGTAATGTAACCACTACTCCAATCAAGAAGTGGAGCATTTCCATCTCCCAGAAATACCGAAGTGCCCTTCATAGTCATTTCTGCCCTCTCTCCTGTGGCCCAGGGTGCAGCCACCGGCCTAAGTTTGTCCCTGTGTACCCTACTTCAGCTAGTTCATCATTTGAAGGTCCCTCATTGTTGCTGGTACTCTTGCTTTTCTGAATGTCCACTTGATTTAGTACTCACCCAGCCACTCTAGTTTTCTTGTGCTTCCTGTTAGCACGATGCCTACTTCAGCTATACCTGTTTGGGAATGTGATATTATTGCAGCCTGTACTACTTTTGTTTATTGATTTTCCCCTTGGTAAAGGTAATATTAAGGAATTTATTTAGAAAAATTCCATATACAAATATACTGAGTTGCTAAAATAATAATAATAATAATAATAATAATAATTATTATTATTATTATTATTATTCTCTGAATACCTTCAGGGCAGGTTTGGCTGGCTTGAGTTGTGGAATCAAACCACAGCTACCTGAGCCTGACTGCTTTGTTGAAGCAGCCACTTAAAGAACTGAGCTAAGGGGCAAGCCCCCCTAAAATTATTGATACAGGGTTGTTTATAATAGCCTCTTCTTAGGCTGATACCTGTAGTATCTGTTGTTGCACCTCACTTTTCGTTCCTGATGTCTTTTCTTTCTCTTCCTTCCTGCTGTTCCTCATCCCTTTTCTCTTTCTAGAGTCTTGGCTTTCTTATTTTTCCTTTGTTAAGGTATTTTCTAGTTTCCTTTGTGATCTGGCCTGTAGTTTCCTACTGAGATATACAATAGAATTTTAAACAATACTGCTCATTTTAATTTATATTTATTTTAGGATGCTTTCTAAAGTGTTATTTAAATTGAGATGTTTGATTTCCACATATTTAATGCTTATGTATGTATATAGGTTTTAGTGTTAATTTATAGTTTAAAATTCTGTTATTTGCAAGGATTATCTATTAGAAGATTTTTTTCTTTTGAAATTGAATTATTTTATAATCCATGATTTGGGCATATGCTTTAAGTACACTTAGTAAATGTTTTATTGCAGATGTTAATGCAAATATCAGTGTCAGGCTATGTTTATTGATAACTTTTTCAGTTCTTGTGTTAGTATGGAAATCTCTAAATACAGGCTTTTCTTCATACCCATGTACCTTTAGAACATCATTTGTTTTCTTTATGTATTGTAGAGCTCTGTTATTAGGTGTATGTACGTTTTCAGGATTTGGGTGTTTACCTCTTCAATTTGCAAGTTCATCATTTGAAGGTCCCTCATTGTTGCTGGTACTCTTGCTTTTCTGAATGTCCACTTGGTTTAGTACTCACCCAGCCACTCTAGCTTTCTTGTGCTTCCTGTTAGCACGATGCCTCTGTTCCCAGTCTTTTATTTCTAACCCACTGGGGACTATATATTTATAAAGCATATCCCTTGATAGAATGGACCCCTGTCATTTGTGAGAAAATGGGTGGAACTGGTGAGCTGGAGATTAAGTGAACTAAGCCAGGCTCTGAAAGGCAAGCACCACTCGGCCTTGCTCACGTGTGCAGCCTACTAGGGCTGATGTCAGAGGAGTGGAGAAAGGAGTCATGGGTCCCAGGGCATGGGGACAGTTGTGGGGAGGGCTCTGGGATAAGGCTGGCGTGTGGGCTCTGCGTTACAGTCAGCATAG